ATGACAAAGAACATTAGAGACAAGCCTCCCTTCACATAAATTACAGCTTATTCTTTGCAGAAGAAAAGGAGGACAAAAGAATCCTTCCCCTTTTATGAAAAAAGTCATTCTAATGAAAGTAAATTAAGAGAAAAAACATCTTTTTGCATTCTGATAATGGAACAGATTCATCTAAAGCAGAAAGTATTTTAAAAGTCAGATTGCAAATCTGCAGACTAAATGAAAGTTAAAATTTTATAATTGGGGCACACGCTTATATAGCACTTATTATCCAAGGGTTTTATCAACCCTGTATTTTCCTGTTTCCCTCCTTCAAGGATGTAAGCCCTCAGTCAAACATTGTTTATCTTTTTAAAATCATTCTTTACATTACTCCTATTATACTGGGTTTTGGTGGGATCCAAATTTGAAGAACTGCAGTTAAATTAATTACGCATGATTTGTAATATTGTAGACCAGCAATGTGACATTGCTCTACACTGTACTTGTAAATGACAAGAAAGTAATGAAATGAAAATAAACAGTTTTGAATTTTATTTCATTTTGTATGATTTTATTAGTACCAACCCTATAAATATAAGATGAGGAATATTTTTCTTCTTATTTTAGGATTGAGAGTGAACAAGCTTATCCTATAGTGGTCTTATAACAATCCATCCTTCATTATTTTTCTGGATATTTTCTCCCAAATGAATGTAAGAAATATTGCATTGCAAACACTTACTAATAAAATATAGTGCAGTATACAACACAGATACCTTGAATGAATACCTGATCTACTGTTTGACTTGTAATAAAGATTACATGAGTAAAATTTCAGGAGGAAATGTAGCAAAAAGGATTGTTAAATATGATTTTAATAATGCTTCAATTTTGCAAAAAGTTTATAAATCTTGGAGAGCCTCCATTAGATGCATTCTCCCTTTTCTGAACACTATTGAGTATAGTGCTAAATATATAAATATACAGTGTTAAATATGGTGAAATAAAACCTATTGTTAACTTGGGGTTGAGGGAAACCCTGGTACTTAGAGTTAAGAAATTTAGCACCAAAGAACTTCCAAAGCCCAGGCTTCAGTGCCAGCCTTTGTGATAACTTAGTAGATTTCCACATTAATCTTCTGGATACATGGATTGCAATTATTTTATTTCAACTACCAAAAGACAACTGTGATTCATTGTTCTGTCAGGTCTCACTATGATTTAATAGGGAAAAAAGCAAATGCAAACAAAATAGGTAGAGAAACTATTTCAAAGACACAGGTATAAATTTCTCATATGAAAATATGCATAATTGTCTAACTTATAGGAATTTAGGGAGAAATTCATTTTCAAAATTATTAAATTTAACTACTGGTTCTCAGTCTCAAAAATCAATGTAATTACCTGTCTAGTTTAAACTATTAAGGTAGCTTTGCCTCAGTTCCAAACCAATGAGGAATTTTTGATATATTTTTTAAAACTAAGATTAAGAACCACTACCTTAGATAGATTTTCCTATGTATAAATGATATATTAGGATTGCATGCCCTTACTGTTAAGAAAACTGACTACAAATTTCAAAATATAGATATTTAGTAATATTTGTTTTATAACTAATATTTATTATGATTTGAATTATTGCCTCTGAAGTTAGAAGTCTTGATTTTTATGCATGATTCTGCTCTCCTGAGCACCTATCCTCCAAATACAATGAGTCTCTTTAATTTGCTGGGTGGATTTTCCTCTTAGTTTCCATGATGATATTGATTTATGCATCCAAAAAGTGTTCCTAAATTACTTATCACTAAATTACAATCAGCTCCCCTAAATAGTGTACAACACAATACCTATTGCCCCTGAAATATTCCATCTGACACTGTCCATGTGCTTTTAAGTTTTTCTGTAATGCATATACGTCTATTTCTAACATTTTCACTGATATGTATTATTACCTAATAGCAACATTATTAATAAACTTAGAGTTTATTTTTATAACAAGCCTTTCAAAATTCTTCTATTTTCACAGAAGTCTAAGTTGTTACGTAATATATGGATGAAGGCTCATTGTTTGACTTCTCGCAACTGGTGTATGTGTAATATTACTATACACCACCTATATTTACTTTGCAAATAAAAATCAGTTATTCTCATGCATATTGCCTTTTTTAACATGTATAATCAAAATATAATTGAGATCATGTAGTAATAAATATCACAAGATAACTAATCAAGATATTTTATATTTCATTGGGACTACTATTTCCTTTAGACTCGAATAAAAACAATACCTTGGGATGGAAGTCAGGAAATGAACATTTCATTCCTGTATATTGACCTCCTATGATATATAAAATGTGTGGGAATTTCTCAATCTCTCTGTGCTCATACTGCTATTGGAAAGTATAATATTCATCACCAGAAAATGTGTGACAGTAATTTGGGAATCTAATACCTATTGCACTGTTACATTGTTTATAGATAAAGAATTCATTTGCTCAGGAAATAATAATTCTCCTGATGAATAAAATTGTCAAATTGCTCTAGAATCTTGTGATGACATGAAGGTCTAAGGTTCTCTTGCCCCAAGCAATCAGTTCTGCTGCTATTCTGTCTTTCTACTTCTTTTGCTTCTTTCATGCTTATGAAATTCTCCCTATGGTCTTTGAGTGATTTAAAGCTATAATGATTTTGGTGGTACTATGGTTCCCAAGTGTCTAAGATGTAGGAACAAAAGCTGTATTTATTTCTCTCTAGTCTATGAGATATTACGGAAAAAGATAAAATTTTAGGTAGGACAACACCAAGATTTTGAAGTTTCAATGATGTCCAAGATTTGAGAATAAAGAAAGAATCCATGCAATATTTAACACAGATTTTTATTTTTGATGCCTTCTGAAGAACAAAGACACTATAAGCTCTGGGGAATCAGAATGAAAGCCACTGCTTTCCAAATATATAGGACATATTACATGAGAATAATTAAAATACAACATTACAGACATAGGAAAAGTGTAACTTCAGTTCATGAGATATTTTCATTGAACACAAAGGGACTAATCTTGGCAATAATAACTATCTAACATTTGCCTCAGTTTTATTCTTTGGTCACATATGAACCTCATAGAGAGAAACTATTGCCTGATTAGTTGTTTTTCAATGCTGTTGTCTCAACTAGAAAACAACTTAGGTGACAATGCTGAGCCCCAGAGATGAAAAAAAAAGAAAACCTTCCCTAAATTGATCACCTTGTAAATGGAGCTGAAGGCAGTGAACAATAAACTGACAATCACTAGGTAAGATGCACTAATATTTTTCAGTGTTTCCAGCCATCAGAAATGTTTAAATACAGATACACAGTTTTTGACTTCAGGTAGAGTTTTCAACTTGTTGCAGTGTCCTGAGCAGGAATGAAATAAAGACCTGAGTTTAAGTGTCCTTTTCCAATTGAGTGAGATGGTTTCTATATTGCATGGACACTAAAATAATACTGTGATGCAGGACAACATAGAGGTATGTGCTGAGCTATCATGGGCTTTCTCTGTGTTCCATGCTTCTGACCTCAGGCATTCTTCCTATGGTTGACACATCAGGTTTGATGTGCAGCTTTATCCTGTGATCTACCAGGAGGCCTGAAGAGGAATACACAGTGACCAAAGGGTTTCTCCGTGAGTGACAGGGAAGTGAAGTGGGTGACTGAGTTATCAAGAGGCCACACTCACAGGCTTCCTCGACCCAGGTTCCCTGGGTCTCTAATGAGACAGCTCAATTCCAACATGTCTTCAGTGTGCCAAGCTATACACCAGCAGATGTTGGTAAAAAATGTCATGCTCATTTCTTTTCAATAAAACATAAGGATGTGGAATTTATAGCTTTGGAAAGACTATGTAGATGAATTAAAACAATCAAAATAGAATGATTATTGTCATGCTTATCTTCATCCTCAACATGTCCTTCATAATCCTTTTGAAGTTCTCAGGAAATGGCTTGGAGTAACCCATTTTCTATTGTCTGCATAGGATATATTTGAAAAGAAGAACCAATGTGCTAGAAAATCAAAACCTTGAATGTGATTTTGGAACCCCCATCACAATCATACATGTAAACTCTACAGCCCTCAAGTCTAAAATTTTGCATGCAGGTATTCTCCCATTTGGCTACCCTGTCTGAATTTTTGTCCTGATGATGAATACTCAATGTACCTCATAGTCCTTCCTCCATCATTCATGTTTCACCATTTAGTGTTTTGTGCTACTTCTCTGCAAGGTCATGACAAGATAGAATACCCAATATCTTTTCTCTACCTATTTCCCGATGCAAATCCATGCTCTGTCCTCAAAATAGACTTCCATGAAGTCTCATACAGGAGGTTTTAGACACAGACAACCACAAGAGAAAGAGACACAGGTATGGTACTTGCCACACTGGAGCCATCAAACAACTTCGGGAGACACGGATTGAATATTTACTATTCCATGACCTTGAAAACTCAATTCTGAGAGCTCATAGTTAACCAAGTTGGTCCATCACACAGTCTAAGGACTTCCTAATGCTAATGGGAGAAGAAGAAAAATAAATCTCCGTTAAATTTGGGGCGTTCTTCTTATAATCAGAGGGAATCTTATTTATATATTCGTGTCTTTTGTTTCTTTTCAAGATTTATCTGGGTTCTTTGCTTTTCTATTACAATAAAATTTTTAATTAAAAACCTGATAATATGCATCATTTTCAAGTGCAGCTCTCAGTGCCATTAATTATATTCACACTATGATATATCCACCCAACTCCAAAATCTTCTGAAAGAAATTCTTCATCTTCACACACTAAAATTTTGCACTCATTAAAGGTCCCGATGCTTCCCATGCTCAAACACTATCACTATTTTACTATGGTAAATATGGGATAAGAATTTAAAATCATCTAATATAAAAGCAATGTGGCCACAGAAACAAAATGTACAGGTATAAATATTTAATTTTGCTGTCATTTTTACTCTACAGTTGTACTGGATACCTCAGGTCCTAAGATTTGAATTTTCTATTGTGGAGCTTGCTCAAGCTTCTTTTAATGTCCCTGTTCCTCAAGCTGTAGATAAATGGATTTAGCATCGGGGTGACCAAGGTGTAAATGACTGAGGCCACCAAACAATTTGTGGGAGATTGTGATACACCTGAACCAAAGTATGCACCACTGCTTGTTCCATAAAATAAGCAAACAACTGACAGGTGAGACCCACAGGTGGACAGGGCTTTAAACTTCCCTCCTGGTGATGGAATTCTCAGAATGGAAGAAATAATTTTGTAGTAAGATAAAAATATCCCTGAGATGGGAAAAAATCCAAATAACACAGCAGCAGTATACTTTAAAATGTTACTGGACAAGTTGTCAGAACAGTCAAGATTAAGGAGTTGAGCAGGGTCACAGAAGAAATTGGGAATGAACACATCCTTGAAGTAGATAAATTGTAATACAATCAAATTGTGGAGCTGACAGTCCAAGAGGCTAAACAAAAAAGACAGCACAACTAAGAACCCACAATGGCGAGGATTCATAATGACTGCATACTGCAGTGGGTGACAGATGGCCACAAACCGGTCATAGGCCATCACAGTCAGAACCATGTCATCCATACATCCAAAAACGATAAAAAGAGACATTTGTGTCAGGCAGCCCACATAGGAGATGACTCTGCTGTCGCTCTGGATGTCCATGATCATCTTTGGGACTGTGGTGGAGGTGAAACTGATGTCAACTAAGGACAGGTTGGAGAGGAAGAAGAACATGGGGGTGTGGAGGTGGGAGTCAGAGCTGATGGCCAGGATGATGACCAGGTTCCCGAGCACCGTGACCAGGTACATGGACAGGAACAGCCCAAAGAGGATGGGCTGCAAGTCTGGGTCCTCTGAGAAGCCCAAGAGATGGAATTTGGAGACTTGTGTTAAATTATCCCCTTCTGTATTGCTTGAACACCTTGGAAGAAAAAAAAGTTTGAAGAATAGATGCACATAAACAAGTACATTATGTTCTTTATGTATTTTGAATTCATGTATCCAAACATAAATTATTCACACTCTAAGTTGATACAACTTCAGCAGTATTTCTCAATGTTGATAAAAACAATTTTCTAGGGAACTTTTGCACTTGATCTTTACCAAAAGGCTGAGAAGTGATGGTAACTTTTTCATTAATGGTCTTTGTGTTATTCACATTCTTCTGTATCCACCTACTTTACACACACTCAACAATGTTATACCTCAAAATAACAGCAACTAAGAAGTCTGTGATCACAACAAAATATAGCCTCCTCTTTTAATTAAAAATAAAGAGTAAATAATAGCCTGTTCCCTTTCAGACAAATGTTCTAATGGCAATTAAGAACCATTCGAACATGTTTATCAAAAACCAAGGAACAATATACCTATACTTAGAATATTTATTATAAGTACACACAAATTATGACTGTATCATCTGAACACTAAAATAATGTGATGGTTCACTGGTAAATATAGGTATGTACCTGTTATCACCCAGAGATAGTTCATCATTCTTGGATTCCTCTCTTCTCTCTTTCATTCAAGTCAGTGTTCACTCAAATTGTTTGTCTTTTAAGAAATAATTCATATATAATTTGTATACTTGGACTTTGTGAAACTTTGTTTCCTTGAATGCGTATAATCATAACACTAACCATAAATGTAGCATTTGTTTACACTCTCTAAGTCAATGATGAAAAAGTAGTAAAACATAGCTAGGCATGGGGGCATACACCTGTAATCCCAGCAGTCTAGGAAGATGATACAGGAGGAATGAAAATTTGAACCCAATCTGGGAAACACTGAGTTAACAAAAACCTGTCTCAGAATTTTAAAAAAAATGAAACAGAGATGTGTGTGTAACTTTAGGTTCAATCCTGAGCTCTTTCTCAAAAATAGTAATGAAATTTTAAGAAACACTTTTTGAATTGTTTTTTTTTTCCTCCACAGGTTTATTTTTGTCAAGCCCATGTAGTGGTAAGATTTGTGCTGTGAAGACAGATATGTGGTTGTTTTCCCTTGAAACTACATTGTTAAGTAACCTGGAGATAAATGCTATTTCAATTTTTTTTCTGAACAAAAATCATCTCCCTGCAAGTGAAGGGGTTTAGCAACATGGTCAGCTCCAATACCCAGGATTGAGACCTGACCTTCCTCCTATCCCTGGTTAATAGACTTGTAAGTAACTCTTTCCTGAAACATGGATTATAAGGCTATTACTTCAGCTATCTGAAGGAAATTTGAGTTCATTATTTTTCAACTTGCACTATGATATAATTTGGAAGCAATGCTAAAGAGGAAAGCACAGGAAATACACTCGTTTGGCACTTTCATCTATTATAATGTGAAACAATAACTATTTACTTATGCAGATGTTTTAAAGAAACTTTTGTAAACTCCCACTGCAGGGTGTACAGCAGGATGGTAGAGCACTTGTCTGCTATGAGCAAGACCACAGGATCAATCCACATCACCACAAAGGAAAAAAAAAGGAAATAACAACAAAGATATTTATATGAATAGACTAGTGCTTTTCAGTTTCATATGTCCACATGGCAAACTTGAGACTTTTTAAATATCCAAATACTCTGATTAAACTAAACCAGTCTATTCATCATATATGTCAAGATCGGTGTATCACTTCTGATAGTATCTAACACTTAGAAACCATTTTACTAATAACACTATTTTTACTATTTTACTAATTACTAATAATTGGTTACTAATTGAAATATATAATCTAATGTTATTTGCAACATAACTTTCACTTTAGTCAGATAGATACTATTACCTACATAATTCAAGTACTTGGTATTTCTTTTTTATTAAGTTTATTGGTACATTTTAGGTATACAATATTATGACATTCATCATTGGAAATTTGTACCTCTACATAATCAATCTTGGTTCTTATTTTTCCCCATTCCCTTGCCCTCCTTTCAACTCTGTTGATCTGCACACTTATTCCCCAAAGACAATTGTTGTGATGAACCTTATTTTATCTTAAAATTTCCAGGCCAGTTTAAATTTATGTATCCATAAAAAGTTTTCTTAATTATTTGCCAAAGCATATGTAAAACCATCTAAATTGAATATACTGCATTACCTCTTGCCCATGAAATGTACTAGCTACATCAGCATGGGGATTGTAATTCTCTCTGTGAAGTAGATACATCTTCTTCCAATGATTTAGATGATGTACAGCATTACCAGAGAGAAGGACATCACTCCTTATTACAACAATCCTTTAAAACTCTTGTGCCTTTTCCATAGCACACAAGTGAATTCCCCTATGATATTTCCATCGATTGATAGGCATCAAATTTTTTAATCAACCACTTATATTTGTTATCCCAATAAAAATTCACTCATTATTAAATCCATTCTCTTATTTTGAGCATGTACAATCAAAAAATATATATGAAGTCTCTCTAATAATAACATTAAAATATAACTCATCAAGAAAGTTCATTTAGCCAGGTATAGTCATGTACATATGTAATCTCTACACTTAAAAGGCTGAGGTAGGAGGATCTCAAATGCGATGCCATCTACTATACAATGAGACCATGTCTCAAACCTCCAAAAAAAGAAATAAATGAAAAGAAATTTCAACTTATTTAGAGGGTAATTTTTCCCCTTGTCTACAGTACAAGAGAAAATGTGAAAATGTCCTGGGATGGATGCAAAAAAGTGACATCTTTTGTCTCATATCATTGACTTCCTACAACAGTCTGAATATGCACAAATCACTCTACTTCTCTAAGCTCTATGTGCTTCATGAATATGGGAGAACAAAAGCCATCCACTCCATATGTTTAGGAAGTAATCTAGGTTTAGAAACTAATAAATATTTGGTCACCGTGAATTTTTTTAAAGACTACAATAATCAAAGTAATGGTGCATAATATTATCAGTGCATAGAACTGTCAAATAGCTCTCTCGAGGTTCGGAATGATGTGAAAGTTTAAAATGTGTCTAATATGTTTAAGCTCCAGGAGTAAGGCTTGCTTGCCTACTTCTCTTTGTGTCTCCTTTGCTTTATCTATACTCATGAACATCTCTGCCATGGTCTTTGAATAATTGAATGTTATCAATGCAATTAAATGGAATTAGAGGGCCCATATATCCACAATATAAACACAATTGCTATTTTATCCTATAGGATATCCCTGAAAATGAGGAACATGCAAAGAGAAAAGTATCAAGTGTGTTGAAGCCACATTGATTATGACCAGTATTTGTGAATAAAGGAGGGTATACTTGTGATTTATTATGCATTATTAATTTTTATTTCTATTCTCTGTCAAACATGAACTGTGGGAATCAGATAGGAGAGACAATTATCTCTTTCAAAAAATATAGCAAGTACTAAATATAAGGACAAATAAAACTGCAATGCTCCAGAATTAGCAAAACAATGATTTCAATTCACAAAATCTTTTGGTTGAACTATATGAAGATAATTCTTATGGTTGTGAATAACTAACTTCTATTTCCTCTTATTTTATACTCATTATATATTGACCTCATAGAGAACATTCATTATCTGTTTCACTCATACTCAATGCAGTTGTGTGAACTAGAATTCCACTCAGATATAATAATGGGCTTAGGAATCCTAGCAACCTTCCCTATGTTCAAGAGATAGCACCTGGACTCAAAAGAAATGAATCAAATTTTCAGACTGTGGGAAAAGTACCCTAAACACCCAGAAGGAGAGGTATCTTAACTGCAAATAGACTTTTAAACTCTTTCCAATTTCCAGAGTATGAAGGAAAGCAAGACCTGACTTTAAGTCTATTTTTGTGATTGAATGAGCTGATTCAAAATTTCAAAAGTTTATGGACAGCTGCAAGGATGTTCCAGAGTAGAGAAAATAGTGATTTGTGCTGAATTTTCAGGGCCTAGTATTTCTGTGAACATTGGCTATGAGCATAGCCATTTTCCCTGTAGCTGATACAGTAGCTGCCACACACTGAGATCTGCAAGGACCCCCCTAAAGAGAAGTTCACAATGAGAAAGAGATTTATTCTGGGAAGGACAGGCATTATTGATAAATTTTTTTCACAACTCTATGCTCCTATCCAGCGAACCAAAATGCATGATGGCCCTGATGATGGGAAAACAATGATCCTGATAGATACTCCCTCCACCATCCATCATTTCCCTTAGCACTTACTGGTTTTCACTACTACTCTGCTGAGTGATAGCAAAAGTCTTCAGATCCAGTGTCTTGGTTCCCAATGAAGACACAGGCTCTGATCTCATATTAGACATGAATGCAGGCTCAGATAAGAGTCTCCTGATCCAGAATATTATGGAGTAAGGCACAAAGGTGTGGTTCCCACTGGACTGAAGGTTTGGAGGCACAGAACATTGACTGTTATATATCCTCAAGGGCTCAAAGAACAGTGATCCTTATCAGCCAAACTGGTCCATGTGTTGCCCGTCTCTAAGGGCTTCCTTACATAAATGGCAGAAGGAAAACTGAAGGTCATCAAGTGTTTGAGAACTCTTAATTGATTGAAGAGGAAGCACATATTTACTGTTCATTTCTATTATTTGTTTTTATAAGCATCCACTGTTTGTATTTCTATTTTTATTATGACAAAATCTAAATCCAAACATTCCGTGTTCACATCACTAAGTACAGAGCTCACTTGCACGGATCACATGCACACCGTGTTGCATCTGTCACCAGCCTCAATTTCCAGAAGTTTTTCAGTTTCCCAAACTCAAAATATGTTGCCCGTTAAAAAAATTTTTACAAATTCCCCACCCCAACTCTGGTTGCAATGATTCTACTACCAACCATGATCAGAAATTAAAGCTATTACACCACCAAAATAATGTACCACATTAGGCCCTCGGAGAACGCAAAAGTGTTGAGCAGGAGATTGTAGTTCTCTAAGCCGCAAATAACAAAATTAAAATTAAAAATA